AGGGCATTGTTTGGCCGAGGTGCACCATTCGGGCACTATTTGGTCGAGGTCAATCGAGGTGCACAACTCGAGCAATGTTTGGCCGAGGTGCATGACTCGGGCACTATTTGGCCAAGGTGCATGACTCGAACACTGTTTGGTTGAGGTGCACAACTCGGGCACTGTTTGGTCGAGATATATAACTCGGGTACTATTTGGTCGAGGTGCATGGCTCAGACACTGTTTGGTCGAGACGCATGGCTCGGATATTATTTGGCCGAGGTGCACCACTTGGGCACTGTTTGGCTGAGGTGCACGACTCGGGCATTGTTTGGCCGAGGTGCACGGCTCGGGCATTATTTGGTCGAGGTGCATGACTCAGGCATTGTTTGGCCGAGATGGTTGTTGCCCCCTCCCTCCCCCCCCTCCCACCCCTTTCTTTTTTTCTTTTCTTTTTTTTCATCTGCACACCTTAAGCTCATCTACTTTCGGCCTCGCCGTGGCGGACCCTCTTGTGCTTTCCTACCACTAGTGCCTTAGTAGCAACATACTGGTTGGCCCACTGGAGCATCTGGGGGACGGTCGCTGGTGGCCTCTCGACCATCGACCAAAAGAACCTTGAAGGTCGTAGGCCCGTCAAGAACACCTGCATAACCAAAGAAGGGTGGGTATCTGGAACCCCTCGGATCTCAGTAGCGAAGCAGGTGACGAAGAGGGAGGGATTCGTCCTCCTTCTGCCTTATCCCGAGGAGCATGGCCGCGGACGGTTTAGGTCGCGTGCTGGCTAGGCAATGAAGCTCGAGTTCCCTTGTAAGCTGATCAAAAGACGAGACCGAGGACGACCTCAATCGACTATACCTCATCCGAGCCAGGCCTCGGAGGGTGGTAGAAAATGCCTGACACATCAGGGCGTCGGAAGTGCCATATAGGCTATACGTGCCTGGAAGGCGACGACGTGCTCCGTTGGATCAGAGCCACCATCATAGGCCTCCAGTGTTGGGAGGCAGAAGTTGAGGGGGATAGGCTTGTCCTGAATTTCTTGGACAAAGGGGGACCCAATCGAGGTACTTTCCCCGAGCTCCTCGGATTTATGGAATTCTCCTTGAACCTCGTCTAGGTGTCGATTTACCAATCGCAACTGGGCCCGGAATGAGTCGTTTGTCGAGTTGGACGACAGGGTGTTGGCTTCGGGGAAGGTCGAGGCAACGCGTTTGGGCACGAGGGCGTTGTGCTCTGCCGTTGGCCTCGGGTGTCCTGATTGCTCCCCGATTGGGGGGTGGGCATCTGGAGCCAGAGGTGGCTTGTCGAACGGGGTGGCATCGTGAGGTGTAGGGATGAGCATAGGTTGGATCACGGGTGATGGCCATAATAGGAGAACTGTCTGCTGAGCTAGCTGGGGTATGAGGGGTGCGATAGTCTGCATCATCCTAGCTAACGCATGCACCTGGTGGGTGAGGTTGAGGAACGCCTCGGCGCGAGAGTAGGTGGTTGTCCCATCGGAGTCTGAGGTATCGTGTCGATGCAGTGCACCATATCAACCCTGAGGCTCCGCGATGGTGCTGACGTGGCTGCTGACTTTTGTCGCGGGGGTGGTACCAGAATATGCCCTATCACCAAGCGACCAGTAACTTTATTGCCGGAGTGTTTATTACCTACCTGGCAAGGTATGCAGTTTCGAATAATATCGCCCGTACCGAACAGTATGTACCAGTCCGTCAGTTGACCGGTACACGGACCGCCCGTTACCAGACGGTGTGTATATATATATATACCGAACGATATACTGTATCGTACCATACCGAGCGAATGTCAAAACGCCGATACGGTACGATATTTCAAACCTTGCTGCCTGGCATGGTTTATGGATTCTGTTCAAGGTGTCCGGACTTCATTTCTCTCATTTGATCAGCCGACATCTATGAATTGAACAAACCAGCTTGAGCCCATAATAATTTTGATATACCGGATTTCTATTCTTTGTCATTTCTATTATTTCATTGTACAGCCTAATGATCTTATGTGTATTCACCTTTTGGATTAATTTGTTCATGTTATTGCATCACAACTTATCTGTAACAATGCCTCATCCTGTTTACCTCATTTCTATTTTTCTTTTTCTTGCAAAAAGAATTTATTCTTTGCGCTACGTCATTTGATAGTCCCTATCCATTACCTATATGTAATCAAACTAGTTGATTTTCTTTGTGCATCGTTGCTAAATTTTGGTGCTTATTTAATGGGTCTTTTTCTCCTGTCACTTGGCTTTGTATGGAATAGAGTTCCTTTTTTTCTGTCCAATGATTCAACGCCTACAAAATACAAATATTCGGAAGCCATTCTTCTTGATATAATGCATTATTTGTTTATTATATTGTAGTTAACTTGACATACAAGTTTCTAATTCCATCGATACCATTAACTTGATCTTGTTTTGTTCATTCTTTCTCCTTTTTTACGTCATTTTGATGTAGATGCCTCCCTTTATGCCAAGCTTTTGTTGGTATGAAAAATGTGGTGTGTGGTTGGTGTCTAGGTAATGACGGCCTTGCCTGAGAGAACTGTGGATTCCAAATTTCCTGCAGGAGACTCGGATGATTCAGCAGATAGAGAACCCGTAGCTACAAATTCAGAACAAAAGGCTATTGAAAATAAGTCTTTAAAGGCTTCTTTCTTGACAAGCTTCTTCACATCCACTTTGTCAATCTTCGAAAGACGCTCTGATTCATTTTCAGTTGAAAAGAAGCCCACCAAATCCAGAAGCTATGGCTGGACTACAGCTGTGAGGAAGGTTGTGACCAGTGGCTCAATGAGGAGGCTTCAAGAGCGTATACTGGGGACAAGCAGATTTGACAATTTGAGCATGACCAGTCAAATATGGTTTCTTGGCAAGTGTTACAAACTATCACTTGAGGAATCATCACAATGTTCTGATCCTGGCAATAGTTATGCTGCTTTTCTAGAAGATTTCTCATCGAGAATTTGGATCACATACAGGAAAGGTCAATTTACCAAATTGGCTATCTTATAAATTTGTCAGGCGAGAGGCTTTCTAGTGATTCTACTTGTAAAAGACAATCTAAGCTCTTCCATTGTGAATTTTCTGTAGGTTTTGAACCCATTGGTGAATCAAAGTTCACATGTGATGTCAACTGGGGATGTATGATCAGAAGTAGCCAGATGCTTGTTGCTCAGGTATAAATTCCATTTATTAACATTTTCCATCTAATAATACTAGTGATGTGTGCTTATGTTGTTAGTTCAAAATTGCCAACAGGCTTTGATTCTTCATCATTTGGGGAGATCCTGGAGGAAACCCTTGCAGAAGGTGAGTTGATTTATCCATGAGTTCTTTTAGTGCTTACGGAAAGATTTAAAGAAAAAAGGAAATTTCTTATCTGTAGTGATGAATCTTGTATATTTGTTATATATGAATGCTTCTATTTTCTGCTGATTTTGCAGCCATATGATCTTCAGTATGTTGAAGTTCTGCATCTTTTTGGTGACTCAAGCACATGTGCCTTTTCAATCCACAATCTGCTTCAAGCTGGGAGGGGTTATGGTTTAGCTGCTGGATCATGGTTGGGTCCTTATGCCATATGCCGAACCTGGGAAACCCTTGCTCGTGCTAACAAAGAGCAAGCTGAACATGACAAATGTAAAGAAAGCTTGCCCATGGTTCTATATATTGTTTCAGGTGATGAAGATGGGGAACAAGGTGGAGCTCCAGTTGTCTGTATTGAAGTTGCTGCAAAACTCGGTTCGCATTTTAGCAAGGGACAACTAGAATGGGCACCTATTCTTTTGTTGGTTCCTTTGGTTCTTGGACTAGAAAAAATCAACCCTAGGTAAACTTGAAGAAATTAATCTTCCTTGGATAGCATAGTGATGCAGCAGTATCTTTTCTTTTAGGTGCTCTTATTTATCTTATGGATCTTACTTTGACATCTATTGTCGTAAGAGCTAGGGCATTCACCGGTGAGCTTTTTTATAACATTGAATTATACAGCATTAATCTATGAAAGAAACCATTTCAAAACAAGTCTGGCCTCAGGTAATGAGATATTGGCAAAAATGTCTCTCTCTCTTCCCCCTAGTCTTTTTGCCTATAGTAATACTTTGCTTCTGCTGAAAAACCAAATCATATAAAATGATGTGATTTTCTTGATTTCTTGATTGTTAGATGTGTTATTACTAATTGCATACAACTGATTCTTTTCTCTTTTTCGGAGCTGGGGGCTCTTCTATAAGAAATAGCACTCTGTACATAGTTGAATTTTTTTCAATTTTTTTACAATGCATGATCTGTTGAAGTTAAATTTATTGGAAGTCCAATATATGCTACTTAGTAAGCCATACTTCTTGCAGGTACATTCCTTTGCTTTGGGAAACATTTACATTTCCACAAAGTGTGGGCATTTTAGGTGGAAAACCTGGGGCCTCAACTTATATTGTTGGCGTGCAAGATGACAAGGCATTGTACTTGGATCCTCACGAAGTTCAACCGGTAAAGAAGTTTCCATCATCATTCTCATCAGATGTGTAGTTGTGATGTAAAACAACCCTGTTAGCTAGTAATATATGATTAAGTTTCCACATCATCAGTAAAAGCGCAAAAACCCTTGTTCTTGAAATTGTTGTTTGGATGCGATCCTGATATGTTTCTTCTGGGATGTGACATGAAAAAATTATGTAATCTTGTAGCTGACAACATATACATATCAGGATTATATTTTTCTTCCCCTTAATTGTTCTATGTGAAGGTGGCCCAGCATGGAGGTATGAACTTACAACAGCTTGAACCATGCCTAAAAGATTTTTGCAAATCACATAACCATGCCTAGAACTACAAGCATAAATCTGTAACACTTAAACATGTCATAATTTGTATCTCTGATTTGCTTACAACTTCTTAATTGTATGTGATCCTTCTGTCTTTCCAGTTCCTTTGGCTAAAACTCCAAACCTAGTTGATAACTGTTCTAAACAAGAGTCTCTAAACCCATTGCATTTCTTGCTTCTGGTAGGCATTTTTCTATGCTCAGATTTTTATGGAAATGGTTTTCTCCATTGCATCAGATGAGCAAGTGACTAAGTCTCCGAACTCTGTGTTATGTTGTCCTTATTTTTCCTTTGGGAGTAGCCCTACTATAATGCAGTTAGTGATATAGTTTTGACCCTTTTGCCTTCTTGTACTCAATTTTGCAATTGTAAACTATATGTTCACTCAAGCCTCTGGGGCTCACTGAATAATTAACTATGAATGGAATAGGCTGTTGATATCAGGAGGGATGATTCAGAAGCTGATTGTACTTCATATCACTGCAGGTTTGCTGTTTCACCTACATAAAGAAATTTAGGCTGCTGACGTTGATACATAGTTGCTTCTTGCTTTTTCATTAGTTATCTTTTTTCCTTTGCTTACTGTTGCTAATTGGTTCCAGCACTGTGCGACACCTGCCATTTGACATGATAGACCCATCATTGGCCATTGGATTTTACTGCAGGGATAAAGGTTAGTTGATCTTCTACTAGAGGGTTTCTCCAAGTATCATTTGGCAGGTTTCATACACTTGATTTGTTAAATAATGCAGGTGATTTTGAAGACTTCTGTTCCCGTGCTTCTCAGCTTGCAGACAGCTCAAATGGAGCTCCATTATTTACTGTTGTCCAAAATCTTCAGCCTGCAAAACCAATTCCCTGCCATGTAGGTACAGATCACAACAGAGGAATAGATGATTCCTCTGTGGAAAACTTCAGTGACATTGGTGGTCAGGTCCACGAAGATGAATGGCAAATTCTATGAAGAGCCACATATACAGAACTCTTCATGCGGTAAAAGCTCAAGTGTCAGGTTATATAATCTTCTTGCAGAGATCAGCCTAACCTGGACATCGTTAAAAAAAGCTGAAGCTTGCTGGATTTCTTTTGGATCATTTATTCTTTGTTAATTTCTTTCAACATTCTTGTACATGTTAAAGGAAGGAAAACTCCATTGCTTAACCATAGAAAGTAGTGCATGAATCGAAAGGATTAATTTCTTGTAAAGACTGGCAGTAATTATTATTGTTATTGCTTGTTGTACTAATATCCTTTTAATGTTCTCATGGTTCTATTCAGGAAGTCTTCAATCTGATCAAGTTAGATCTCTATTTCATGGTTCATTATTCAGGGAAATTGCACATTGCTCCTACGTACTGTCGCCTTTGCAATTTGTCCATTTGCATTAGTTATTGTCTCAGTGTATCCTTTTTGTTTAACCTCTCTCTTATATTCCCCCACCCTAATGTTATTGTTCTTCTTGTTCTTGTTTCTTGTTCTGTGGTCTTGTTCATGTTCCAGTTATCGTTGTCCTTCTTCTTCTGATGAGATTGCTCGATGAGTTGCAGCAACAGAATTTATAGGAAAATATTGCTGGGTTTTAACATGAATCTGAATTGATTCTGTGAGTATGGATTATGTAGGCTTAACATGTCAAAACCCGAATCTATTGCTTACTACGACAGCAACACCGGCAGATCTCGCCACATTTGGGCAACGGATTACATTTTGACTCTCTCTCTCTCTCTCTCTAGGGGCTAAAGGAGCTAAAGCAGCCTGCTCCCTTCTTCGGGGTGTGTCCGGTGGAATGATACTTGGCAACAGCCTCCTCCGCTCTGAGGAGCTCCTCCCCGTGCTTCGACTCCACCATCGCCCTCCTCTCCTCTGCTTCCTTGTGTATCATGGCGATCTTGTTCTTCGCCTTCTCTTCGGAATCCGCCTTCTTCTTCTCCAGCCTCTCCTGCTCATTCATTCATTCATTCATTTCTCTCACGAGCCACGATTATAATTTAACGGAGTGACGATTCCAAGTTCGATTAACACACAAAACATTAGTCTGCTATGCGCCTCGAGTGACTGCTCAGAAGCTCATTCTGGCTTTCTTTCTCGTTTCTTTTCGGTTGAATAGATGCAAACATTCATTTAAAAGGCCATTTACCTCATTCTTTTTTATCTCAGCCTCGATGGTTGCCATCTTCGTGTTCTCCCATGAAAGAATGGATGACATCTTCCTCTGAGCCCTGTTTGGCACTTCAACGATAATGATCAAACGGAAGAGATATAGCACCAATGATCATCTCCGATCCAGAATCATGATCGTCAAATGCTAATCGCTGATCTCTTACTTGTTGTCAGCTTTGGTCTTTTCACCTGCGCTCCATGCTCTGATCAAAGAAATCCTCTTGTCATTCTCCACCTGCGCCAGTAGAGCATCTGCACACCCACCATAGCTAGCAAATGCATAAGAGAATCCACCAAGAGACCACAAGCTTTAGCTGCTACGTTTCAGAAGTTGTCAGATTCCAACCTCTGTCAGCTGATCCTCCCATGCCCTTCTCTGAAGAAGAATCTGCAAGCAAAGCAGAAAAGGTGATGCAGGAAGAGGGACGAAGAAGAGACAGAGAGCAGAAGCCGTACTCCCCATCAGAGCTTTGAACTCCTTCGGCCTCTTCAACACGGTCGGTGAGAGGACCTCATTCTCGTCGGCCGCCTCCCGCACGTTCTCCAGCTTCGACAACGTCGAGTGTCGCTCTCCCATCTCGGATCCTTTGCGCTTCTCCCTTCCCTGGATTAAGAAGCCACCGATTAAGCTGTCACCTATATATCTCAGACAGAGATGGGGAGAGATTAGCGGTACCGAAAGCTCTTACGTCCCCACATTCTATCTACTCTTCTGGAGGAGAGCGAGAGACCGAGAGAGAGTTCGCGTCCGCAGTAATCTTTATATGGAATGGAATTAGCCTATATAAACTTATTCTTTACATATCTATCCTTCCAAAATATGAAAATAGAAATTTTATCTCTCTAAATATTTTCAATATATATATATATATCTTCTTTCTTCATTTTTATTTTTTTTGAGTGTGGGAAGTCTGGGATTGGACTTCAACCTCATGCTTCCTTCATTTTATATAAGCACGAGGTTCAGAGTCCGATCCCAGATCTCCCATCAGAAAAAAATGATCTTCTATCTTCCAAAGAGCTTAACATACTGCATCCATAGAAAGATAGGAAGAGAGAGAGAGAGAGAGAGGAATGGTGTGTTGTGGTTTGCGGCAGAGATTTGGTGTTGCATTTATAGTGTCAGTAGGTGCATTCATAGGAACGGAGGATGTGTACGTTATGATCGTGAAATAAGGTAGGGAAATTTTCTATGATATTAGACATAAATTCCCTTCCAAGAAAAATAATGTCTAAGGTGATCTAGAGAGATTACGGATCCACTGCATGATGATGAGACACATAAAAGCTATACAATCTATCTTTTTCTTCCGGATATTGCCAAATATGTATCATATCAATGTAGATGTATAGCAAAGTCATAAAGGTTCCTCCAAAATCATGCATTCCATTCACTCACTCCTATCATTCTCGATGATTCATTTTGATTTATAAATAATAATAATAATAATAAAATTATATGACTGAATCGTATGAATGATCGAGCATGATGATTTTTAAGAAATTATTTATGACTTTTCTTGTACAGGATATCCTATGAAGAATTTACGTTTAGACATATTCCCAAATACGATTCGATCTTAGATTCATGAAAATAATTAGTTCTTACCAAAGATAATAGTTTTTGACTATTTTGTTTTAGTTTTGGCACATGCAAATAGAGAAAAATTAAATTCTTCATCACATATTTTTTGAAAGAAAATCAAATTGTATATGTTGAATTAAAGTAATTGCTAATTCATAATTTTTTTTCCTAAGACGGTAGAAACACATAATAGTGTTTAACAATGCCAATCATACTACCAAAACACATAAAAATACAAGGTTTAGTGATCATAGTGGCTCAAGAGATCACATCATCAAAAGTCTTTTCATTAAAATTTTTCACTCATTTTTTTTTCAATTTTTAATTACTATAGTATTTTCATCTGATTTGTTCACAGTATTTTTCAATAGCATTAATAGTATTTTATTGATATACTACAAATATTATAAATATTATTAAAAAACTACTATGAACGATATCATATCGTGCCTCTTCGGTTATCATTACTTATATATTATTATAATATCATATTTTTACGCGTATCATTAGCTTGGTTGATTTTACGAGTCTATTTAGATCATTTATAATATTTTCAAATAGGTTTTCTAGGTTCTTTTATTGTGATAACCAAAATACTATAATAGGCCAAGAACACTATAATTTTTTTTAACAAGTAATTTGAATATTTTAAAATTAAGACGCACCATTTAGAAACAAATAAAATATAAGTATTGATTGAAAAATACTCAAAATGAAGATATTTTCCAGAGGAATCACTCTTATGTATATATATATATATATATATATATATATATATATATAAGAGAGAGAGAGAGAGAGAGAGAGAGAGAGAGAGAGGCATGTAGGGTTCTTGGGAAGCAATGTCTCATCTGAAGTGATACCAAATATATTACTCCAACTCATGGTCGGTGAAGAAAGACACAAATGGAGAATCTGCATTCACCTCCACCATCCTCCGATGGATGCGCACAGACATCACTCACAGGCCACTGCATCGTGCCGGGAGTGGTTGGCTCAACGAGACGAGCGCAAGTGGTGGTGATGCAAGTCTTACGTATGCATGCGGTCAAATGATGAGTTCCATAATTAATGGATTCTATGTGGATTTACTACCAGTGATTATGAGTCGTATACTTTAGCTGACTGTCCTTTTACCCCTAATTTTTTTCTTGTAAGAGAAAGAATAAAGTAAAATTTTCTCGAGTTAAGCTAAACTCCAACTTTTCTTTCGTATCTCACACTAATATCTCAATATACATAAAGTATTCATGGAGCAATTAATCTTTAAATTTCAAAAAAAATCATAAAACTTGAATTTCTTATCCTCCAAATAATTTCTCATCAAAGAACAATTAGGAAATACAAAATTACACCATATCTTACCTTAATCAGCATTTTATGTATTAGAGGTTCATAATCACAGGTGAGTGCAAAATCTACTGAAGATATGACAGTGCCACAACCAAAAGGCCAAAGGCAAAGAGGATGAACCTTACTGATGCAGCCACCAACAGGCCAATGGCAGTGCAGTGTGAGGTCCTCTATAGTTGCTCTCTGCTCTCCTCTGCATCTCAGAACCACCCACTGGTGGCAGCCAGCCCATCCCATATGGTGGAAAGCTGCAATGTTGCAGCAGCAATTGCCTAAAGTAGTCTGCTGCAGTGGAAAAGGATGAAGAGTAAAGCAGAAGAAAGCATGAAGATTATTAGGTCAAGTAGGGTTACCAGCAGTTCACAAGGTGAGAAACTATGCATAGTCTCTATGTTCATTCTAAGAAGAAAGAGAATTGGATAGAAGCTACAGTCCTAAATAATCCAGCATTATATTGTCTTTAGTGCCTAACCCTATATCAAGAGAATAATATGTCATGTGAAGCCACCATTAACCCAGAACACCTTTTCTTCTTTCTCTTTCTCTCTCTCTGTGTACATCTATATAGAGCCCCACCTTACCCTCTGCACAGGATCAAGACCTTGGAGATCAGTGTCCCTGTGAGAGATGGAGGGGAAGGAGGAGGATGTGAGACTGGGAGCAAACAGGTTCTCGGAGAGGCAGCCTATAGGGACAGCTGCACAGAGCCAGGACAAGGACTACAAGGAGCCACCACTAGCTCCACTGTTCGAGCCAGGGGAGCTCAGCTCATGGTCCTTCTACAGGGCTGGCATAGCCGAGTTCGTGGCCACCTTCCTTTTCCTCTACATCACCATCCTCACCGTCATGGGCGTGGTCAAGTCCGACACCAAGTGCTCCACGGTGGGCATCCAAGGCATCGCCTGGGCCTTCGGTGGCATGATCTTCGCCTTGGTCTACTGTACCGCTGGGATCTCAGGTGAAGATGAAGCCGGTTCCTGCTCTTGTGTTCGTCTCTGAACAGATCTTGACTTCGCTGAATCTTCAGGTGGACATATCAACCCGGCGGTGACCTTCGGGCTGTTCCTGGCAAGGAAGCTCTCCCTCACCAGGGCGCTGTTCTACATGGTGATGCAGTGCCTGGGTGCCATCTGCGGTGCTGGTGTGGTGAAGGGGTTTCGGAAGGGGCTCTACGAGAGCAACGGCGGTGGAGCAAACGTGGTGGCCGCTGGCTACACCAAGGGTGATGGCTTGGGTGCTGAGATTGTGGGCACCTTCATTCTTGTCTACACCGTCTTCTCTGCCACCGATGCCAAGAGGAATGCTAGGGACTCTCATGTGCCCGTAAGCAGTCCCTCAACTTCCACCTTCCTTTTCCTCTATTTACTTAGGATTACACCATTCTCCTTCTCTTTTGCTGAACCTACAGCCTTTAGAGGTTTGACACTGACAAATACAGATACTCTGCAACCTTGTTTCTTCGATCAACGTCCATAATTTTCCATGGCTTCTTAATGTTTTGTGGTATGGAGCTAAGTAATCCTACGAATTGGTGCAGATACTCGCCCCCTTGCCCATTGGTTTTGCAGTTTTCCTGGTTCACTTGGCCACCATCCCCATTACCGGCACTGGCATCAATCCCGCAAGAAGCCTTGGAGCTGCCGTCATCTACAATAAAGACCATGCTTGGGATGACCACGTAAGTCTTGAGGGAAGTGATCGAATTCTCTCTGTTCTTTGACCAAGTAAGCTGTGGAACATCTATCAAACTGTCTGTCGTCTTTGTTCTCAGTGGATCTTCTGGGTTGGACCATTCATCGGAGCTGCTCTTGCTGCCATGTACCACCAGGTTGTGATCAGGGCAATCCCATTCAAGAGCAGGCCCTGAGGTTCCAGAAAAGATGTTGCGCCTCCTGCCATGTCTCTCTTATCGATCCATGGATTGCAGCAGTCTGTGAACTGGATGTTGTCATGTTGCTATTGCTGTCTTTTAACTTGGTTTCTTTTATCTTCATCACTTGAATTCATTAGCATATCCACCTGCTTCAGCATTATAATGTAGAAGATTAGGTAGTGGAAGAACAAGTAAAGAACGAAATGAATCAAAAACAAAAATTATTGCACACATTAGATAAGGTGTAAGAAGAATTGTAGCAGTTAAAATGATAACAGTGGAAGAACAAAGATGGTACCTCCTCCAAGTTTCTTTAGCAGCAGTGCCAACAACTCTGTGACTTGTCCTCCTCCACACCCCTTTTACCAAGTGGAGTGCTTGCTTTTGGCTTTAGGGGGCATGTCATGACATTCTATCTTCAGGGTGTGAAGTATTAAGAATATCCTATGGTTGATGAATAATGCATGTCATTTCATGCATTACAAACAATATCTGCATAAGACAGTGAGAAGCCAATTGAGCCATGGCCAACCTAATCTGGAGAAGGCAGATAAAATAATGTATTGCTGCCTTCTGTCTCATATGATTCAGTCAGAAAACAACAGGGTGCATGAGAGAAGATGAATCATATGATGATGATATGAATTCACTGTTCTCACCTACTAACTGGAAGATATGGCTGATGGGTTAGTGGATAACTAGAGTAGTAGACACAGGATTAAGCAATCCCTAATTAAAGCCTCCTACTACTTGTGAAGAATAAAGCAGAGCTATCT